AGCATTCATGGGCATTATCGTGTATATCTCGATCTTTCTCATTTAGATGAATTATTTTTTCTTTACCCCGAGTAAGTTATGAATTCCTTTAGCAATATTCGTAATTTTTTCACAAAATAACTTTGCAGTATTTTACCACAATAGACATATGTTGGAGCCTTTGTATTATTGGAAGCACTGACAACATAAATTCAAAAACTAGATGGTACGTGATTTTGGTATCTTTTTCCTACATTCTCATTTATTCGCTGAAGAACCGAGTCGAAATCAGCATAGACAGGAAGTCTGAGTTTAAAAATATACTTATTTGAATCAATATAACCAGGTTTTGGTAAAACGTCCTTTCCAATTCCGTATTTTTACAAATTTCCTTGTAGTCATTCAAAATGCCTTCCTTTCTGGTTTGATAAAGACATCGTTCGCATATGTACACCTTTCCGTTATGTCCTGAGTGGGAGGCTAATCAGTTTAGATTCTTTATCCAACAATGTCATTTATACAATAGGAGGTTCACTATACTTTTATAATCAGTTTTCTTCCCATTATAAAGTACACCTACGGTGCCTTTGAGGGCAAACACATTAATTTTTATTTTATCCTGTCTTTCAAACAATGAATAATCTTAGGCTGGGACCGGAAATTCAATGCCGTCAACATATAATTCATTCTGATAATCCTTAGATGTGGAAACTTTACCGTACTCAGTGATCTGGTCTTCTCTCTCTATTGCAACAACTAGACGAATGTTTGCACAAAATTTCGCCTTTAATGTCAGACTTTCGAGTATCTTGCTCATGGCCTTGTCTTTAATAGACTCAAGAAATTCCTTCTTGGTTAAGGATTAATCTTGGCTCGTAGTCCTTCACATTGCCTTCAAGGGCCTCTGCTGTCATTTCAAAATTTTAATGTCCTTTTGAATTCCGTGCATATAGGTCTTTGTAGGACGGATGAATCCACCGACCAAAGGTACATTATATATATATACATATCTTCTTCTAGTCTTTTTTTTTTTTGTTTTGGTTTGTTGAATAAATTATCCCTAAATACGAAATGAAAGGGTGTCAATTTTTCATAGTCAGCGTTTCTAGTCATTTTGTTTATTATTTGTTCACTTTTTTTTTTCTTATTTACGTTTGTTATTTTCAATTCTTTGGCCAGAGGATAGAGGTCCTTGAGCAGATCTCTTTTATTATGGATTTCATCCATAAGAGGAAATATTTTACTTTTTTTAATGGTCTTATCTAAATTGAAAACGTTTTGCTCAATGCAGCTTGTTTTTCGAGACTATTGAAAGAAATCCATTCTACGTCGGCGTATGCCAGTCTCGCTTCGGGCTTGTTCGTGGCTGTTTACAAATCTCTTTTAGACATCTTTTCGCTCTATATAGGTTGTTGCAATCTCTTCTTAGACCTTCTCTATATATTTTATTAATATTTCTCTCTACAGTTGTTTCCTCTTCTAATTCTTCTTAATGAGACTTCCGCGACGGCGATATCAGTTACAACACCCGCGCTGGCTACCTTGCTTCGTATGTTTTCGTGACGTCGTTGCCGACAGCTCGAACGCGTCGGCGGAGGTAGAATTCTTAAATAATATGCGGTCTGGTATATAGTAAGACATTTATTACAAGAGGTCGTTACTTATTGGGTGTACTCTTATAAACATGTTAACATAATATACATGTAAATTACAATAAGTTAAGTAATTTTTATTTCTCTAGAGTGATCAGTGAGACGAACAGCTGTCACATAATTAATGGCTCTTGTTTTCCCTCCCAATTCGATTACCGCTCCACCGCAGCGGTAACGACACCTTTCCCCTACATTTATGGTGACATATTTGCCCCTATGTGGTTCCTTGAGGGCCTCCTTTCCTGGTGGATTCCTGGTGGATTGGCTGCGGCTCTCGCCAAGGGGTTCGAGCGCACTGGCTCGCTTGTAATGGCCCTGTGCGATGGTAGTGTCAGATCACCGGTCGCAAAAAAACAAGCAAAGCTCCCTATATGGTTGAGAAGCAGTCTAATGACTCCATTCGAAAATAAAAACAAGCCCAAATTCAAAGTTGGTAATACTGTAAGTTTACGGAAATAAAAAGGGGCTTTTGAAAAGGGTTACAAAAACAATTATACGACCGAAGTCTTTCGAATAAATGAAGTTCTAAACGACGGTGTTTCATATTACCATCTAGTTGACATGAAAGGAAGGGACATTCTAAGGACAATTTATGAACAGGACATGGTGAAAGAAGTTCCCACAGGGTGATTTTTGTATATTGTTATGTTATTTCTTGCAGATCTTTTTTCAAGATTGGGGGAATGGGGGGGGGGGGGGGGTGGTCCAGAACTCTAATTTTCTATACTCCCATCCCCTCAACTTCTTCTTCAGTGTTAGTTAGCCCTGAGTCACAAGGTAGAAAACCAGTGCCACATCAACGCGGGTTGGCATTTGCTTCTATTGAATTCAAAATTAAATTAGTCTTCTGCACATAGTGCAACACTGTAAGCACAGACAAGCATTTTTTTTACTAAGCGGTTGCTACAAAAAAAATACTATTGTGGTAGCAAGTCCTTACCCAACTGAGCAAAATGCAAAAAAAAAAAATATACAGCGGCATTTACCTTTAAAGTCCTATATGCATGCAATGCTCTTTTTTAAGAGTGATTGTTTCAATAGACCATTTGCTGTATTACCCAAGCATCAAGGGGAATGCAGCGATTCACGCCTTCCCCGCATAAAATGTTCGATGTAAATATCCAAAATAAAGCGTTGACGAACGCGCGTGCAAGATGCCATTTGCTTTAGGCACTTGCTTCAGAAAAGTTACTACTGCTGACGCCAGCACGTGCGGCACGTGGAACACCAATCCCTGCATTCTCTTTGGTGCTTGGTAATATAACAAAAGGTCTATAGACTGACGTCACAAATCGTTCTACTCATGCGTGTCACCACCACAACTGTAGTTCGCAAGATGTAGGCGCCCGTGCAAGATAGCTCGTGCCGTCTCGTTGTCTGCTCGTGCAGACCTCCAGCGGGGTTGACGCAGCCGACGCTATATAAGGAAAGCGGACCAATCAAGCAGCGTGAAAAGCGCAGGTCATTAGGAAGTTCCTATTTATGGTGGTCGGGCGATGATAGAACACGCACAAAAACGTCACTAACAGCCTGGCGGAGTGCCTTTGACGCTGTTGCATGGCAACAGCGGTGGCTTACTCAAACTTGCCGGTGACATCGGTCTATTGTTTGGAAGACATTATATAGTGGCATAGCCTCCTCTATACTCACAAAGCCTGGCAGTTCTATAACGGAGCCATACAGTGCCCGGTCGCAGATTTGGAGCGCGAGTAGCACAGAGCACAGAGCATTTCTCGAAGAGTTTGTAATCAGCGCACAGCTTTTGCAGCGGCGGGGACCGAAACGCGGTTTTCGAACCCGACGAGAAAAAAAGCGGTAGCCCGAGGAACGCGAGAAGCACGAGCGGGCATTCCATCGCTCGGGACAAGTGTGTTTCGGCGTCTCGCCACAGCGGGGCACCAGTTACATGCCTCTTGTAAAGTCCCTCGATGCGTTTGCGTTTATCTTGCAAGTGGTGTCAAATGCACCAGTGCACGAGGACCGTGTCTCGAGCGGCCCTTGGAGGCAAATGGCGGCGAAGCATTGAAATGAACGGCCCTTGAAAGCGAATGGCGCCGGAGCACCCGCTTGTTGCACGTGCCTTGCGCGTTTCCACAACAATGGTTGGCGGTGCTTGTAGAAAAGCCTTTTGTCTGCCGCTCTACCTTTTCACTTTCGGCGGCCGAGACTTGTGGCGATCTGCCGGGCTTTGTCAGTATAGAGGAGGCTATGACAGTTACGGTAGCGAAGAACCTATGCTTTTATCAATTTTAAAGAACCTGAATTGGTGTGTCACGTGACCAGGCAGGGGGGAAGGGGAAGAACGGAAAGTGGGGAGGGATGGGGGAGAGACAGCACTGTGGGATGGGGAAGGAATTGAGAGAGGGAAGGGGTGGGAGAGAGGAAAGAGGAAGACGAACGAAAAGGCAATTGGGAGAGGCAGAGAGAGAAAGGAGGAGAGAGTAATGGGGGAAGGGAATTGGTCTGAAATGAAGTATATATTTTGTCTTTAAATTTAGCGGGGAAACTGGTTGTTGCTTCACATGACCAAGGAAGGGGAGGAAGGGAGGGCTCCGCAGAAGATGATGGGGGAGGGATGACGAGAGGAGAGGTAGAGAATGGGAGGTATACGGGAGGGAGGGCAAAAGAAATGGGGAGGGGGGAAGAGGGAGAGGAATGGAGTAAGGAAATTGGTGTGTCACGTGACGTATACTTTCCCGTTAAAATCAGAGGGGAAACTGAATTGCTGTATAGGTGAAGTAACATGGTCATGGGACGTTGATTCCTCCCGCTAAATTTAATGGGAGACCTAATTGACATATAGCTCACGTGCTGTCCATTTCACCAAAGTACATAGGTCACGTGATGTTACTTTTCCGGCTAAATTTAGCCGAAAACGCACGGACGGACGAACAAAGAGAAAGACAAAATTTTAGAATTGTGGGCTAGCGTTAAAAAGTATTGTATGAGTTAAAAAACACCAAGGTCCCGCAGCGTACTTATCCGGCGATGAATGCAATTATTCCTTACCATTTTCTACGAAACGTCATTTAATTTCTTAAAATGTTCGGCGTCACAACTTTTTTTATTTTTTATTTTCTTGGAATACTTTTGGCTATCTCTGTGGTTTGAGCCTCTCCGGTGTTCAATCTACGGCTTGGAATCCCCATGGAAGCTATCAATATCTGATGAAAGCATTACCATTTGTGCGCCTAACAGAAATTTCGGCTTCACGATTGATTTCAGTTTATTGAATTTATCTTAAACAAAAATGACCGATTGAATTAATACATATTTTGCTAAGAGTGCAAGATGATCTTAACTGGCATTGCACGTAAACTCGGAAACATGTTTATTTCGGCGAATTCTCAGAATCATTTCTCTGTGCAGACCCGTAACTACGCCGAATTTCGTGAGGAACGAGAGCTCGTGAAAGTGGCAGAGTGGACGGACAGGTGAGTCGAAAATACATTTAAATTTTCTGATTACTCCAAGCAGATGCCGAAATGGAAGCGCCTATTTTATCGTTTAAATGCCAACCACGTCCTCGACACACCACAGAGACTCCAATATTTTGTTCGAAGAGACACCATAACTATATTGCAGTGTGTCGAACCGAAAAAAAAATACGGGTTCGGTTACGGTTCAGGTTCAGGTAAATTTATTTTGTTCCGGTTCAGTTCCGGTTCGATTAATTCAATCCGCGAACCGGTTCGCTAACCGGTTCGGGGCGCTGAACCGGTTCGCGAACCGGTTCGGAAATTATAAATGACAAATTGCAACATCAAAATAAATTACAAATAAAACATCTGAAATCAGCACATACGAAACGGGATACATCGTAGTGTAAGGCTCAGAGATTTCTACCAGGAATAGTTTCTTTATGTGCACTCAAAGGTTACCTCACCGACGTTTACGCATTCGGACTTCATCTAATTGGGTCCGACGCAGTAGCTGTAAAATCCGCGACCTCCTTACAAACCCACTTACAAGTAGAACTCGCTAACTATCCCGCCACCTCGGCGTGTAAGCAATTGAAGGAACAGTGGGGAGAAAATACAGCTTTCTTTATTTGAACTAGCCTTCGGTAACTCAAATTAGACCCTTAAGAAGTTTTCATTAAACAAGATACGGAATATCAAAAACACTTCACCGAACGCAACGCCAGAAGGACGTAATAGGATAAATATTAAAATAGAAGAGTTCGCTGTCTCACAAATATGTTAGCTTCTAAGTGCCTATACGAAACCGGATGCATTATTATCAAACTCCACAGCCTTTTCTTTTCTCATTCCGATGGAAGCAAGCTTCAAGAACTCGCGCGTTCTAGAAACGTTTTATGAAATGAGCACACAGCAGCATTTAGGATTTACGAGATTGTAAAAAAATAAAATCCCGTGACGCGATATTTTTTTTTTTTTTTTTTTGCGCAGCCTTTTAATTTTTTTTTTTTCCGTGCAAGCCGCGACCAGCGCAATACTGGTTCCTATGTCAAGATTCATGGATGCAGCGTTTGTCAAGATTCATGGATGCAGCGTTTATATTCCTAAGACTGAGTGGAGAAGAAAAATATGTAAGCGAGGTGTGTGTCAGTTGACGGCACTTAAAAAACAAATGGCATTGATAGCACATTGTCAATCAATCAATCAATCAATCAACTTTATTTACATCATCATGAAATAGTGATGTGGGCTGCAGAGGCAAAAAGTCGAAACAGTTTTGACTTGACAAGGCCTCTGCAGCCTTACAATTGGCATACGGTAACAAACAACAGCAACCAGGGGAAAACAAGCAGACAGCGACATGGAAAAAAAAAACACTTATATACTCTATTTGCTGTTAGAGGAAGGATTTGACATCTTACACAAAAAACGAAAAGAGACGACAGCATCTAGTGACTGGATGTATACAGTAAACAAAAATATATAAACCGGATGCATTTACAGCTCACAAAGACAATTTATTTTTTATTTGTGAAAACAAAGTTCTCGAATTTTATTGAGATGTAGGTTTTCAATGTTTGACAAATTTTGTTTTTCAACTTTATTTAAGACAAGTGGAAGATTATAGCTTAACATTTGAAACCCGTAATTCGTGCGATTTAATGGAATTTTCCAGCGCTCTCTTTCCCTAACGTCATAAGGTTTAGAAATGGGAGTTAAATTTGAAATACAAGTAAAAATGGTTCATTACATCGGAGGGTGGATCTATATCATGTGAGGAGAGTAAATTCATATGAATCAAGAATAGATGTTAGATGCAGCTCTTTAAACAGAGGACGAGTGTGTGTGTCAAAAGCAGGGTTGTAAAGTACCTAAGTACAAGTAACTGTAAATCGGTAACTAGGTACTTTTGTTGTACCTGAGGTACAAACCTAGGTACTTTTATTTCTCAGGATCTGTATCTGTATCTTAGGTACATTTTCCAGTAACTTGTAACTAAGTGAAGTTACTTTTTACAGGTACTTTTCTATTCACTTCGTCAAAATCGTAGAAAATACAATATAACATATAACTGAAAATAAATTATAATTACAGTCGTAAAGCAATTTAACATCACGTAGTGTTTCCACGCAATAAATCGAGCTCAAATTTTGCACTTTACAAAACTGAAAATGCTGCGCCTGAAGAAACTCCCTCCTGATTTCTAAAACACCCTCTAGAAATACTACTTCCAGAGTCACAGTTATAATTACGTGCGGAAAATAGTATTAAGAGACCTTAGATATGTAAATGTTCATTTCACATAATTAAGCACAACAAAACTGGCAGGCTTCGTTTTCAAAACTTAATGCAGGAGTAGAAGGATACAAACATCAAGGGCAGATAATCTAAGTACTCATACTCTGGCCGAACGGGGACTTCGAGCTCCTGATGTAGTCTGCCACTGATGGCTGGGCTGCTGCTATTCTATGTTGTGGAGGTCCTGTGCTACATCCGGGTCTTTCCTTGGGTGCCGCGGCTTTCCGTTTCACCCCGTCGACATTCGTCTTGCTCTTGTCGACACTCTTTAGTGCTTCCTTGTGAGACCTCTTGAAAAAGCAAAGCATGACTAGTTAATACTTATTGCACCGTATCAGGACAGCTCAGCGGCGCAGGACACTAGTCCAACTAGGTTTCAGCATTAGCACTTGAGACGAAAACGATATTTCTGCCAGACGCCAAAGATGGTCAACAGCGGCGGAAAATTCCGGACCTGCGATCCTTAAAAAGGAAAAAAGTGGTTGCTTCCAGTAAAACTAAAATGAAGACAATATCTAAATGACCAATGACAAGGCGGCTTACAGATAATTGTTGTGGGTCGGTTCATATTCTCGGAAGCCTAGTTTACCTAGCGCACCCGGACATCTTTGTAACGACTTCTTACCGTCGCTCCAGACGCCCTGAAAAGTGGACTTGCACCGTCATTTTGTATAAGTATGACCAAACCTTTCTTTGTAACCCATTCCTGACGAAGACCGGACTCCGGTTGAAACGTCGAAAATAAAGCTTCCGTTGTTCTACCGAGGGACCTCTACTTCGTCATATATAATATATAGGTAAAGTCAGAGTGGTAAATGGTCCTGCAAAGTTCTAAGTCCTAGTTACCGAACATCCGCAGTTGAGAACAACGAGAAATCAGTAGCAGGCGTATTGTACGCACGAAAAGTTGCTACCCTGACGTGCGACGCAACGTCTATCTCTTGGCCGACTGACGGACGTAAACGCACATAGTACGGAGCATAACAAAACTTACACAGTGATGGAAGTGCCAATTGACCTTTTGGAGCAGGCCTTGTAGCAGGCAAAATGTTGTTTTGGAGCAGGTAGTGGCCCTTTTGGAGCAGGGTCCGGCATATGTTGGCATATTACTAGAAAATGAAATTATGCTGCATTGCTATTTAAAGCCCATCCCTATAATTGGAACACAGCGCCTGTCGCCTTTTTAAGACAGGATATATAAAATTCAACAAAGTAAACACAAAAATAAAACCTTTTTTTTAATAAAGTTTATCTGCTCGTCAAATAAAAAAATACAATTAAATATGTCACACTGAGTTCTGATGGCACAGGATATTTAGTTTTATCAGCCTGCACTTTTGTTAAGGCATCTGCAGCAGCATTTAACGACCCTCACTGTTGTGAAAAGTTTTAGTTCAGATTAGAGTTGTCTTTCAGGCAGCCGCTTCAAGTACTGCGGTATCTGATATTCGCTTCAAAAATTCCGATTAATTTTCGATCTGCTGGCGAAGTCACGATCGGATCACGGCGAGTTAACCCGTTGAGTGCGCTCCTTGGCATGCACCGACGCGCTGCAGAGAAGCGACACCCGAGGAGCAGACACCACAGTCGCGCGTGTCGCGCAGTGTTGTTGTTGTTGAAAAACTTTATTGAGTTGAAAGATTTAGGAAAGGAAAGGGGAGAAAGGGGAAGAAAAAGGAGAGAGTGGTTGTGTGCCCCTATTCCGGGGCTCCAAGTGCGGAGTGAACTCGGAGTGCTCGGACCACGAGCAGCCTCTGCTCGCTAGCCGTCGCGTACTTGAGTCCCGCTTCCCACTCCTCGAGTTTGGGCTCCTCGACTGGAGCCAGTCCTGGGAGGTTCTTGCATGCCCAGACAACGTGATAAACGTCCACCCAGGGCTCACCACAGAAGGGACAGTCCGCCGTGGCGTACCGCTCTGGGTACCACAGATGTAGCTGGATCCGTGTGACGAACGTGTCCGTCTGAAGTCGTCTCCACGTGAACTCTTCTTCTTTGCTGAGACCTTTGGCCGGCCCAGGATATTCTGCCCTATGTGTTCGTAGAGCCTTTAAGGCCTCACTGTAAGTGAGCGCACTGTCCAGATCCCTCTGGGGCAGAACCGAGTCCCGGTATAACGCACCTCGGGCCGCAGCATTCGCCGCCTCGTTTCCGACTTGCCCCATATGGCCGGGGGTCCAGATCAGATGTACTCCCTCTACTGCGGTTTTGCGGAGGAGCCTTAGAGCTGGTTGACCCACGACCCCTCGCGCAAAGTTTTGACAAGCTCTTTGTGAATCCGAAATTATCGTCGCACGAGGATTGCAAACCACCGCCAATGCTATGGCCGCCTCCTCCACTTGTTCAACCGTCTGCGCTCGTATGGAGGCGACGCGTCTGATCTGCCCTTGCGCACTGGCCACCGCTATTGTAGCCACCCCCAGCACCGGACCGGCCCCATCCACGTACAGAATTCCCTCTCTGCTGTCCCAGGAACGCGCTAGGGCCACCGCTCGCGCTTGTCTCCGGTACGGAGTGCCGTACGTCAGTCTGGCAATAATGAAGGCCTGGACCAACTGTATTGCCTCTTTCTCCTTTATACCGTGTCTACGGTTCCTAATTCGCCTAATCATACCGCACACCTGCGTGGTCATGGCGTCCAGTCTGTCGATTGTCGACTTGTTCCCCCTCCCCTGTTGTAGAAGCTGGCCCAGAATCCGAACCTCCGCTGGCTTTGG